ATGGCAGTGACGATCTGCATGTATTTTTGTGGTACGGCTCGAAGGAACTTCTTGACGACGGAGATCTCCTCCACCTTCTCTCCCAACGAGCGGATGCCTGTCACAATTGACGTCAATTTCATGGCGAAATCGTCCACCGTCTCTCCGTCCATCATGCAGATCACCTCAAAGTGGGTCCTCAGGATCTGCACTTTCGCCCCCTTGACTCGCTCCACGTTGACGTGCATCGTTTTTAGTGTCTCCCATGCCTGCTTGGCGGAATTCTTCTCTGCCACCATGAGAAGAACGTCCTCTGGTAGCGCTTGATATATGGCAGCGAGGGCCATTCTATCATTACGCTCTTCGACCTCGTCTTGCTCCACGACGTCCCACACTCCTTGAGCTTGTAGGTTTATACACATCTTCAACGCCGCATCTTCAACGCCCACACCGAGTAGTTACTCTTCGTGAGTAACTAATAAGTGAGTGTTAAGGTCGCTTCTCTTTCGATCTTCATTGCTGTCATATCTCCTATGATAGCTTTGCTCGGTGACGACATGTTCTTTGGCTAACTTGGCTCTGATACCAAATGTTGGTTCCAATTTAATGGATCGCTGAAGGATAAATTGAAAGAAAATGAGACTAGATTTTTGAGAATTCACTTTGTATTATTTTGAAAGAAGAAATGAAGCAAGTTTGGAGTGTGTGTCTTACATTGCAGCTCAACACCCAATTTATACTAACCAATGCATACCGAAAAAAAAGAAAAACGTACACAATAAAGACAAAGAGAATTGTAGGTATTAAGTGCCACCAATTCAGGTCTATTTTAAGACATACATAGAGAAGTAGGAAAACTTCTAAGAAATTAAGGCTTTTCATACTTAAACATAATAAAAACAAATATAAATAATCTCTATCATAAAGCATCCTTCTACCATTTTCCTTCCTCCGTCCCCACTCCCTTCTCCAATACCCCTCACATTCAGTGCACCACCCAAACCCCACAACCGAAACCTCGCCTCATCATAGCTCCCTTCCTCGTCCAAACCCCGAACGGGCCCTCGCCCGAACCCCACCCTCCACTAGGGGCCACCACGTTACCTCCACCTCCCTCCTTCCACAGACTCATCCTCCCCAATCCATCAAATACTTCGCTTTTTCAAACGTCCCATCCAATTCTCCCATCCCCTCTCCCCATCCCCTCCTCCTTCCATCGACTCTCTCTTCACGCACAACAAAACCCCCGCCACCTGAATCCAAATGGACTCCAAAACACCACCAGCCCGCCAATCCAACCAAAAATAAAACCCGGCCCATGGATCCAGCTCCCGACGGGAAGCCCCCTTCTTCCTCTAAACCCACAGAAACAACTGCCGCGTCATCCTCCTCCTCCCAACCAAGCCGCTACGAATCCCAGAAACGCCGGGACTGGAACACCTTCCTGCAGTACTTAAAAAACCACAATCCGCCCCTCACTCTTCCCCGCTGCAGCGGCGCCCACGTCATCGAGTTCCTCAAATACCTCGACCAATTCGGTAAAACCAAAGTTCATTCCCAAGCCTGCGCCTATTACGGGCAGCCAAACCCGCCCGTGCCCTGCGCCTGCCCTCTTTGCCAGGCTTGGGGATCCCTCGACGCTCTCATCGGCCGCCTCCGCGCCGCTTATGAGGAAAACGGAGGACGCCCCGAGTCCAACCCGTTCGCCGCACGTGCCGTCCGAATCTACCTCCGCGACGTGCGGGAGTCCCAGGCAAAGGCCCGCGGCATACCCTATGAAAAAAAGAAGCGCAAGCGTCTGCCTTCTGCTGCACCGAGTAGTCAACAGACCGGCGAGGGATCCGCCTCTGGAGTATAGTTTCTTCACTTCTTTATTATTATTATTATTATTATTATTTTTAATTTTAAGAGGGAAGAGGGGTGCATGTTCATTTTAGGCAGTGAAGTATGCTATGGATGACAAGATTGGTTATCCTCCGCTTGCTCATCACTGACATCTTATATGAATATAAAGAATATTAAGAACTTCTTCATTTATCTGTAATTTAACACACTATTTCTCTTCTCTTATTTAGGATCTGTTTGGGGCAGCTACAACTTATTCATATAAACAGCTTATCCTGATAATCTGCCGATCAGCAGATTATCATTTTGATAAACTGACTAGCTGCTTTATTTGTGTGTTTCAAAAATAGCTGATTCTGAATAATCTGTTTAACTGTTTGATTTGTACGTTTGAAAAACAATTAATTTGCAGTTTTTTGTAGATAAAAATTCATTCAGACAGACACAATTTTGCTATTTATACTAAAATTTTAACAAGTACACATCTGATAGTTGAAAATTAAAAATATCATTTCATAACAGTATAAAATTTTTATTGTTTTTAATAATTAAATTTAATTTCTAAAAATAACTCAAAAAAATTTCAAAATAATTTCATAACAATTTCATCACAGCTGACAAGTTATAGCAGAGGTTTATTCTTTTCCTAGGTGGTGGAAAATTGGTGATTATATGTTTGTATTTGATTAGAAAATGACAAAGAGTATTACACACAAATGTATTATTTGCAATTATGCAAAGCCATGGCTTAGAGAATGCACAAGTAGTACATGCGCTACATGGGTGACATGCGAGATGTGTTTGTTGTTATTTCACTACCACTCAGGGGACATATAATATGGCTTTGATTTAAAAATTTGTTTTTCCACCTTGGCATTTCTAGTTCAATGCAGGCCTACTTCTGTCTGGATAATATACAAGACATTTGCCATTAATGTGTATGTTATTAATGTATTAACGGTATTATCATGATGTACTTGGTTATACAAAGATAAAATGCACACCTTTTCTTGTCTTTGACACATTTAATGATTTTTTTCTCTTGGATGTTGATTATTACATTTACACATATCATCCATGTGGACGATTTAGTACATAAAATTTTTGCCTGTATCCAACAAACTTAATATAATCTTAACATCCTCTACATACACAACATCTTTTAGTATATCTCACAACTATATATATGACATATACTATAGATAAATGCTTTGAGAAAAAGCTGGAATTTTTGATGTGAAATTAAATATAGTTCTACTCATGAATATTTGCTACCTTGCAGCTTTTCAAATGAATTTTTGAGCTTCAAATGATCACCCACAAAATCATTCTGAGAAATATGCCCTTTGTAATATTACAAACTTGAGAGATTTCAAGCACTAGCCGTCTAGGTATTGGTCCCCCTCCAGGAGGAGTTTATTCCGCACGGGTGGAAACTACACACTGTCGACCAGCGTCTCTGCGGCAGTAACCAGGTCTCTCTCTCTCTCTCTCTCAGTCTTTGTGCGCGCGCGTGTGGAAATAAGTATGGGGTCAGGCTAGTGTTGATTTAGGTAGGTTATTTATCTTTCTCTGTCTTCTTCTCTATAGTTTGAACTGGTAAAGTATTAAAAAGAGAGCGAAGGAAAACAGCAGCAGCCTTCCTTTACTTCCGTTGGTTCATAAATAGGCGATGGTGAATGAATTGGCTAGTCACGAATGGCTCCAAAAAACACGTCCTTTTCAAATTTCGTGATTTCCATTCTCCAACACTTCCTTGCCGGTCACACGGATAACAGTAATTTCTTTCTCTCTCACTAACTTTAATGAGGATTGGGCCCTCATGAAAAGAGGTGAAAATATTGTGTTCGATAATGTGATCGGTGAATTGATGGTATTCTGATGATATTATGATGACAATATCGTCATAACATCACTTGAATATCACAAATCTACATATACAATATTTGTACGTAACATTTCATGCACATGAGAGAGGGATCTCGAGCTGTATATGTTGGAGATCATGAACTTAAACAGCTTCAGTTTTCCATTCCGTTTACTCTGAAAAGTCAAGTTCTAGGGTTTCTTTATGGCCAATGATTTTTACTAATAGATCATATGTTTTTTATATTTGAAAAATTGGTAGGTTAACTGTTATTTACCATACATTTTTAGTTAAACAGTCAAACATCAAGTATTCGATATTTAATTTTGATAAATTGAGTAATTCATTTCTTGCACATTGCAATCTTCCAATTGCTACTGGAGCCTGCAGAACAGCGAACCTGGTCATTTCGTAATGGAAATTTAGTAATCCAACTGTTGGGCCTGGTCTGTTCCTCAAAAGCCTTGCCAGTGGAGTCATTATGCCTGCATTAATATTATGAGAAACCTCCGGACGGCTTGGATCACGTAAGTCCCTGAAATTATATATTAATTGATTGTGAGTATCAAGATAGGTTTGATTTGCCAATCCTGATGAAAGATTGACTGCAATGCTAAAACTATTATGATTAGAAGCGATGGATTCAGGACAGCAGGATCTAATTCTAACTTCGTTGGACTATCGATCTTGGTGAAGTCCACTGAACCTATTGGCATGGAGCCGTAAATTGTATGTTGAAACTGGTAGAATCTCGAGCAGGGCCAAGTGGACCTATTTTATATATCAGCTAGAGAAATAGATCCATCAAACATGCAGACAAAACTAGTTAAGGACTCCAATATCCCTCCAGCTCCCTTGTTTCTAAGATCTCCTTCGCTTACGTAGTGGAAGTGGATCCCTCGTTCTTTTACCTAACAAACTTACTTTTTTATTGAATAAGAAGAATTTGTATTGCAAAAAACAACAAAAAAAAAAA